AGGATGAAAAGAATGGCTTTTTTCTTTTTCATCTTTCAATGTCAGTCGAATTGCTTCTCACTGGATAAATTACTTTGTGAAGCACATTGCTTCCTCATAAGGCGATAACCTCACATCACATTGCTCCATTGCTTTGAGCAATGAAGTGATGTTTTTAGATAAACCCTCAGCATTACTTCGTCCCATGGAGCAACGAAGTGATGGCTTTTAGATAAACCCTCACTTTGTATCACGCTGTCGCTTTAAGCAACAAAGTGATGGTTTTTAATAACAATGGAGACGTAGGGAAGACAATCATGTATGAACGTCTAAAGACAATCCATGAGGTAAATACCCAAGACAGTTTAAGCCAATGCTTTTAGAGAAAATAAGGTGCTGCAAACAGAGATTTAAAGAAAGACTACACTGAAGCAGTAACTTCTGCTATGTGAGCATATCTTCAGAACACAAAACAAAGTTCCTCGCCAAATAACATAGCTAAATAGTAAATCCCTTATGACTTAGGAGACAACTAAACTGGTTTTTTTTCTTTTGATAGGTTAGGCAACAGTGAGTTCTAATAATCACTAAGATAAATTATATGCAATAGTAAACGCATTTCAGGCACATCAGGAAAGAGCTGATAATGTATAAATAGAGATTATTTCATTCAAGTAGCATAGTATATCTATTATAATTAAACTATTATCAGTAAGTTACTAACCAAAAATAAATATACTATAATCAATACTTTCACACGCACATTATTAGTTACCCTTTTATATATTATCGTTGTGATTTTAGATACTATTACAAATATTAATAATACTTTGAATAATATTATATGTTCTTGTCACAGTTTACTTGCTGCGTCATTTTTATATATCTATTTTATTTCAAGTGTGGTATAATATTACTATATCTATAAATAATAAAATTATTGTACTAATATTTTTTTCCCCTTTAACGCCTTTTTTCTCATCTTTGCAATCTTTTATATTATTATTATTATTATTATTATTATTATTATTATTATTATTATTATTATTATTATTATTATTATCGTCATTTTCAAATAGTTTATGACCCGCTCTTCTACAAAAGAGTTGGCAAGTTACAATCCTGAAATTGAAAGATCTCTTCGATCGCGCAGGAAAGGACAAACGTCTTCTCTAACAATAGCTTGTGAAGGAATGGAGAATCAGGAAGTAGAAAATATCAAACCACGCGAAGTACCACCACCAGTCCAAACAGAGGATCAATTTGATAAAGTGGCGCCAAGGCCAGCAAACAGAATCCTAAGGGATTATGCTAGACCAGACCAATTCAACTGTGAATCTAGTGTCAGGAAGCCCCCAGTGGCAGCCAACAACTTTGAAATCAGGACCGGCCTGATTCAAACGATCCAACAATCTTGTATCTTTACTGGAGATTCAAGTGAAGATCCACATAGTCATCTAATTGATTTTCTAGAACTAGTTAAAACTGCAAAGTATAATGGAGTATCCCCTGAAGCAATCAAGTTAAGGCTATTTCCCTTTTCTTTAAAAGGAGATGCTAATACTTGGTTGCGAAGTTTGCCTCGAGGATCAATTACCACATGGGACCAAATGACTCAGAAATTTTTAAATAAATACTTTTCACCTGCTAAAACCACAAAGTTAAGAAAATGTTCACACCACGATATTCCTGAACATATGCAGTTGTATATTTTTTATCACACGCAACTTCGGTCAAGCTTTCCTTAATAATAAATTTTTTATTAGTATAGTCCTCTTTAATGAGGTGTAGTTCCTTAGACTGAGGTGTGCCGTAAAATCGCAATTGCATGGCCCTCATTTAATTAATCTTGTATTGATCCTTAGAATTCAAGGCGTTCCATTTAGCAAATTCCATGACCCTCGCAAAGTGGCAAACGCGAAACGCGTTAGTTTAATAATATTACTTTCCTAAAATCGGGTACACATTTATGTAACCCAAATCCAAATCCCAACGAAGTTAAATTATGTCGAAAATCACGGGTGCATTTATGTGACGTGATTCAAGATGTGTTTTAACGACGTTGCAATCCTCCTTAATTAAAAAATAAAAGCGGTTTTAAAAAAGTTAAAAGCATATAGATTAAAACATGTACTAAAATCAAACAAATAAGCCAAATATGACAGTTGAGCGACCGTGCTAGAACCACGGAACCCGGAAATGCCTAACACCTTCTCCCGGGTTAACAGAATTCCTTACTCGGATTTCTGGATCGCGGATTGTTAAACAGAGTCATAATTTCCTCGGTTCGGGATTCAACCGGTGACTTGGGACACTATTAATCTCCCAAGTGGCGACTCTGAAATCTTAATAATAAATCCCGTTCCGATTGTCCTTTAAGTGAAAAAACTCCTTTACGCCCTTGCGGGTGTAGTGAAAAAGGAGGTGTGACAGCTCTGGTATATGAGCTGCCTACATATCCTTGGCTATAAAGGAATCAGGCAACGTGTAGTTCAGAAGTGAGTGAGATGATGGAGTACCGAGTTGGAGAGCCGATCGAGGTGCCGTTCCGCCGAGGTTCCGGTCCGCGGTCCTGCTATTACATCAAAATCAAAAGAAATGAAAAGACTAGCTAAGCCTGTCAACTATGAGTTACAAGATTCCTATCTATAAGTCTTCAGAAGCTTGATCTCAAGTCTTGAATGGTTCTTCATGCAGACTTTGGATTTGAACCTTGACCCTTGCTAGTTGCAGGTGCTAGTTCATTCTTCCTCAGCTTTTTGGACCAAACCCGGACACCACTCCATGCTTGTGACTTCAGTCATGTCTTAAGCAGCCCACATCTTCCATCAACTTCTGCATTCGGATTAACTTCTTGCCCTTTTTTTTGTTCCTCCTCTTCTTTTATTATTTTGGATTGTGACCAACTTCCGCTGGTCGTCTCGGACTGTTGACTCGCATTCTTTCCGCAAGCCTCCTTTGTTGCTGACTTGAATTGCATTCTGAAGTGTTTTCCCTTTCTCCAGGTGATGCTTGACCGCTAAGAATTGAAGCATATGCCTCTGTTCTCCAGGAGGGCTCCTGATTGTTAAATTTGAAATAAATGCCTCTGTTCTCCAGGCGGGCTCCTGATTGCTAAAACTTGAAATAAATGCCTCTGTTCTCCAGGTGGGCTCCTGATTGCCAAAAACTTGAAAATGAATGCCTCTGTTCTCCAGGCGGGCTCCTGATTGCTAAAAAACTTGAAAATAAATGCCTCTGTTCTCCAGGCGGGCTCCTGATTGCTAAAAACTTGAAAATAAATGCCTCTGTTCTCCAGGCGGGCTCCTGATTGCTAAAACTTGAAATAAATGCCTCTGTTCTACAGGCGGGCTCTTGATTGCTAAAAACTTGAAAATAAATGCCTCTGTTCTCCAGGCGGGCTCCTGATTGCTAAAAACTTGAAAATAAATGCCTCTGTTCTCCAGGCGGGCTCCTGATTGTTAAATTTGAAATAAATGCCTCTGTTCTCCAGGCGGGCTCCTGATAGTGCTAAAAATTTAAAATAAATG